TTTTTTGCAATCAAATGATAAGATAAACGCGAAAATTAAACAAAACAGTGATGAAAATTTTCAAAAAATTAGTAAACCATGGACATTTTACGCGAGATGCCGATCTTCAAGATTTCATCGTTAAATTCCTGGCACAAGCACACGCAATAAAAATATAGAAACTTTTTATTTCCAGAAATATCTTTAAAGAATCGCGAATTGGATGGAGTTTACGTAATGATTTTAAACACATACATACATTGAAATTATTTGTGTCCGCAGGTAAAAGGTGAAAATGATTCTAAGGAAACTTCTTGGGAGTAAACACCTAGACCTAGTGTAAGTTGATAGAACCCGGTTGACGTGGAGAGCATTTATAGATAATCAAATAGGCAAGATTTGGGCGCAATGGCGGCTGTCCAAACTTCCGATAAAACGGAAAACGGAACACGGAATGATGCAATTCAATATATGTGCCTGAAACACGTATTAAATATTCGGCAACCTTTGGTTACAAATTGTTAATGCTTTATAAAAAACAATAAGCCTTTATTTGATGTGATAACAAAGTTGGCGCTGAGCCCATATACCTCTTTACTTTATCCTAGTTTATTTGTCCATAACTTCTTTAATCTCATTAAATTATTAAAATATTAAATATATTAACATAAATTAAATATGAATGTACGGAATATCAGTCACGTTTCGGTAAGAAAAAGGTGTGTATAATAATATGAACGGCTTATTACATGAAATTTATTTATGTTCAAACCTATAAACCTACTACTAACATTACTGACAGAAAAATTTTATAAAGAAACAATGTCGATATTAAGATATCAACGAAACGTTACTATACACAATGCTATAACACCGCCCATTGATCAACAATATATATCCTGACTGAAGATTATCTGATATGAGTCATGCAAACAAGAAGAGTCATGCACTCTTGGGTATGAATAAAAGGCTTATTTTGCATAGATCAGGACAAAAAAAGAATCAATTCCTTAAATGTTCAGACCAATAAGATTGTTACTCAATTGTAAAATTTCTTTGGCTTAGTATTTACGCATAACTATAATGTAAAATGACTAATAAATTAATACCATTTATATACGTATTATATATTGAGAAATAAAAGAGTATTTATCACGTGAACATCATTTAAATTAATACGACATATATCGATATTGCTATATCAAATTTTTTCACAACTCTAGTGGCAAATTTTCATCATAACACCAAGACTTTAAGGTTTTATCATCACTACAACTGACAAATAAATTTTGTTTGGGATTCCAAATTGTATCATAGACTATACCAGCATGCCCTCGCAATTTTTGCAGTACTTCTCCAGTATCCTGATCCCATATGTACACAACCCCGTCCTATCATGACAAAAGATGAAGTAATGAGTAGAATTTAAAACAATCAAATTTAAACGATGAAAATTTTCTACCTCTGATCCTCCAACAATTAATGGTTTGTTTGCAAATCCAGCTCTAATAAAATTTTTTGAAGTATTCTGATGTCCTTTAAATCTTGTTACAGGGCGTACCTAAATTTATGTAATGCTTAGAATATAAAAAAAAATCTCTTAAATAGAAAATGTGTATCATACCATTCTAACATCCCATAATCTGTTAGAATTATCTTTTGAACAACTTAATAATAATGTTCCGTTAAAGTTCATTCCAACACACGTTACTTCACCTAAATGAGATGTTATTGTTCGAACACATAATCCCGATATAATATCCCAAAATTTAATTGAATTATCTTTTGATCTGGTAGTATGCAAGAGAAATAAGAGAAATGTTAAAAAAAAAAATTCTTGTTCAAATATTTGAACTACAATATGAATAGTATAAACTTTACCCGCTAATTATCAAATTGCCCAAAGGGTTAAATATGGCTTTCGATACGGATAACTGGTGTCCCGTAAACATTTTTACCAATTTACCGGTAGAAACATCGTAAAGTCTAACGGTCTTATCATAGCCTCCAGTAACAATATGATTCTTCATGAAATGAAAAGATACAGTATTAATAAACTTAAAATATGCAATTCAATACAATAATATTATATCTATAATACTTGCATCGCCAGGATGAAATTTGACAGTGTAGACATCACCAGAATGACCGGTTAATGAGGATACACATGTGTATTTGCTCGTTTTCATATCCCACAGCTGAGATTATTAGTTAACTGAGATATGTAATCGTGAATAACTTTTAAAACAATTCACAATATTACATTAATAAACCTTTATAGTCCCATCGCCGCTGGCACTTGATATCATTGAGCCATTTTTGCTGGATGATACATCCCAAATGCGTGATTCATGACCCGTTAAAATGCCTTTTTCTTTTGCACTTCCGATATCCCAAACTCTTAGGGTATTATCACTATAAAGAATTAAAAATGTAAATAAATTATGTTGATTTGAATGGTGCTATTATATATTGTAACCTACCTGGATCCACTAACAATTTCTCTTCCTTCTTCTCCAATAAATTCTACACATTTCACATTACCTTTATGTCCAACAAAGGTCGAGTGAAGAGCATTAGGTATTATAAAGCTGGAGTAATCGTGTAGTAACCTATAAAAGAAAAAAATAAAAAT